GGGGTAACTTTGCATATAAGGGGGAAAAAAAGGAAGAAGTCTCCGCGGAAGAAAAGAAAAAAGAAAAAGAAAAAAAAACACCATTCACAAGTGTGGCTGAGCTGCCGCGAATGACCGGCGAGGACCTCCCAGCTGAGTTTCAGGGGCTGTCGGGTGGACTTTTCTGTGAAAACCTATTTATGTTTTGTCTCGGTGTGGTTATCCTCTGCTCCACTGGTGTGACATCTCTGGGAATCATGAATTCCCTTACAAACAATTACCTTCAGGTGACGAATGACCGAAATGTGATGTACTATTACTCACAAAACGGCACCGTGGAGCCGAGTGCTGTATTGCTGATCCCAGAGTTTGTCGTTGAGGTTGGAATGCTGTATTTCACGATTGGTGCAATGTCGTTCTCCCGAAAACAATGTAATGTACTCCCGCTGCCGCCGTTTTCTAGTCAGGAGGGGCCAATGCAACTGGTTCTCTCTGAAGACATTAGTCGTGCCTATCTAAAAGTTAGAAATGATGCACTTCAGTTTGGGTACGCAGCTGCAGAGACCTGCGGAGGTTATTTTGCTTCCAAAATCATGCATAAAAGTCGTTTTGTCTTTGCTGCAACGATCATTGGGACTCTGTGTGGATTGGGCATCATTATTCTGGCGTCCATTTTTTTGTTTCACCTGAAAACGAGACACGATATGCTCAAGACACAAGTGTGTGTGAAGCAGAAATATCGTCTTGTGAGGCTTACTGGAGAGGAGGAGGAGCTAAAAATCTTTATTAGGTTACACGAAACCGAGAGACGCTTGGAACGTTATGTGATCCTTGTACTGTTTCTTCTTAGTGTCGTAGGAACAATATTTCTCGTCACTGCGGAGGTAGTGGAACGACACCTACGTGCATCCGCATTAAAATGTGGCAGATCCTTCTGCGGGGTGTACGAGGATGCCATGAGCAGTTTTTTACAGGTTCTTGGAGCGAGTGGGCATAGCTTCTCTTGCCACGTGGGGTACTCTTCTGTAGTGTTGTTTGTTGTTGCCATTTTGAGCACCATGCTATTTTTATTGGCTTTGTTGTTAGCTGCAGTCCATTTCGTCATGCGTCACACATCTGTGAGGCTAGACCATGTCGGAGAGGAAGATGAAAAACGGTCAAGTGATGGTAGGGAGCTGAGCTTCACATGCGCGGGTAATGCTCCTATAGATCTTTGTAGGTTCTCTAACGGTAGCATGGACGTCACTAACCCTGTTGCGCATCATAGGGCCGCAAAAACTGCCTCAGAAGAGGAGAGATACGGGGATTATTTGTTTGTTTATTCCACTGAGACGGAAAGTGTTTTGGAGGAAGTGGTTGAGCCAGGGACTGTTAGGGAGGATGTTTTTAATGGCGAGCGGTGCGCGCTTTTAGAAAGAGAGGAAGCTGCACGTGTTGTTATCTGTCGAGAGCATGACTTTGTGTTTCGTACTCAGTTTTGTTGGGTAAAGGAAAAGCTTTGGCAGGGCGAGATGCTCTGCATGCTCCACCAGTATTCTTTTAACTGGTACATTGGGCGTATGCTTGATCTACATGTGGATGAAACATACTCCAGACAGACGCTCTTGCGGAAGAGCAGTGAGAAGCTTTTGGGTAAATTCCGTAAGCTGGAAAAGCGTTTTCACATGTCTGAGCCTATTTTGCGTAGTGTAAAGAAGGCAACTGCTGTGCTACATGCAGCGTATGACGGGATGATGCGTTCTGCGTCTCACTATGCCGTGAAAGATGATATCTGCCGCTACGGGTTCCCGACAGATTGGTGGCTAAACAACGCTACCAAGGCTCTTGTTAACGTAGCCATGGATACAAAGCGTTATGAACTTTGAGGTGGGTTCGGGTGCTGAAGTCCTAAATGTTCACTAAATTCTGTGGACCTGAGTTTATATGACACAATGAATGGCAAGCCACTAATTCAGTTCAGACTGGATGCAGCTCTCATTATCGCCTGAAGTGGGGAGATGACGCGTATGGCTGACAGGTGCCTTGCGAAGGGCTACTATAAGCATATTTAGAATATCAACAGACCAAACCACCTATCACACAGTGCTGCCCTTTTTGGGTTGGCTACCCGACCACGGCTTGATTCCTGTAACTTTTTCATCCTGTGCGGTTCTTTAGTTGACTGGGAGAACATGTGCGTATGGGCATCTCTATGAAGAATAGGAATGAGATCCGCGCATGCGATTGGCTACCGTGTTTGAAGAAAAATGGAACACTCTATTGTGTACTCGTGTAGCACATGAGTTTGATTTGTTAGTTTTTTTTTTTTTTTTTCTTATTTCCGTCAGCTTGCTTTCCTAGGCGTGAAGGTTCCTATTAGTTTTACTTCCTAAAGGGGGAAAGAATTCTCTTTCTGTTTTTCCTTCTTGACGTATATGTTGTTCGTGGTGTAGGAAGAAATATTTGGTTTGGGTTTTTTTTTTCTTCTTCTATTGCGTGGTTTTTTTTGTATTTTCGTCTCTTATGATTGTATTTATTGTAGGCTCAGTGGGAAGCGCCGGCGTCGGCCCTGTGTTGCGCAAATGATTTTGCCACATGTTGGACAATCACCTTGGAGATATTGTCCACCAAACTTTCACCATCCTCACAACGTTGTTGTTTTATTTCCTTTTCTCTTCCATGCCCTTCTCAGCATGTATGCTTGCGTATTGCTTCAAAAGTGACGTCTTAGCTTCGTCTACGTTGCAATATGGTTCTAGCTGAAGTGGGTGGGAGGGGTTGGGCGGGAGGGAACGCAACAAACTTCACAAGTGTTTATTGGTGTATACGTTATCTATGTATATTCTATATGCGCTCGTGGAAATTAAACTACAGTAGAGGTGGTTTGCTTTCTACACACAGGCTTCAGAAAGTCGCGCAGTAGGAAAGAGAGACTGAGAGAGCTACATATAAGTGTTCTAGGCTGTTTCCTGAGCAGGGGGGGGGGGTGAAATGATGTCCTCCTTTGTCATTGTTCTTGTTTTGGTTTTTTACCATTTGCTTCGCATGGGGCTTTATGCCTGCGCTCGTCTTGAGTTCATTCGTTACTGTTGATAGAAACACACACAGAGAATATATATATATATATATATATATCAACAAAGGACAATAAGAGACAATGGACGTATCAAGGAGCTTTGACACATTCAACTTATCACGCAATCGCATTCGTGTGAATGAGCTTAATGAGGAGGAGGAGCACGCCAACGCCGCGTACGTGGAGAAACACAACCTGCAGAGCCTCTTCTCAGAGATGTCTGAGCTACTCTCAGAGAAGGATCCAAAAACGGAATTGGAGGCCGAACGCATTCTGTTGGATTTCTTGTCGCATCGTAAGGCGGAGCGTGACCGTGCGGCTCTGCGGCTTCAGTTTAACCACTCATTTGAAGTAAACCTTGACAACGGGCGTAAAATTATGAAACTGCAGCTGGGCCAAGAAACGTCTACACTTCAGTTGGAGCAAAAAGCTCGTGTGTGGAGAATTGACGAGACGTTTGCTATTTCGTTGGAGCAAGCGGAGGAGCTAACAGAGATGTTTTATGAACTTGGCCGTTTTGTTGTGGAAGGGACTAAAGGGGAACAGGGAGGATTCATTAGTATTGATGAGCGGGATGTGTATTTACTCGCTGCAGGGAGGGAATGCGCGGAGGCGGGGGACGAGCTCTTTAATTTGGCGATGCACTTCAACATGGACCGTGGAAAGAAATTAGAACCAACTTCGGGGGAGGAAGTATAGCATTTTGCTGCAGGAAAGCAAGGAGGTGCGGGGTACACGCACACACAAACACACCCACCCACCCATACCAACCCAGATGGAGTTTATGTTGTGGTGGTGGTGGTGATGGTGATGGTGGTCATTGTTGTTGTTCCTTCCATTAATAGCTGTCCCCTTGGTTATGCGTTATTAGCTCAATTTAGTGTTTTGTTCTTGGCACTCGTGCCGAATGGGGCGGCTTCGGTGGGATCATTGTTGGACAGGAAACATGGTGCAGATTGATTACAATTTCTTCTTGAGTAAGAAGGCGCTGTTGATTTGGGTATTTATTTCTTTTTTTCTCTCTTTATTATCCTTTCTCCTCGTTGTTGTTACCCTCCCACTCGGTTTCTAAAGCTCATCAACAAGGATGGCCACTTACGTCCCCAAGAGCTCTCGCGACGACGTGTACCGCTTCTTCTTCACGGAGGGCGTTATTTCCTGCAAGAAAGATCCTCTTGGCACGTGGACCGGGACTCTTGGTGGGAAGGCCTTTAAGGTGCCCGCCGTGCAGGTGATGCAGCTCATGCGCTCCATGAAGAGCCGCGGCCTCATTAAGGAGCAGTTCGCCTGGCGCCAGTTCTACTGGTTCCTCAACGACGAGGGTGTGGAGTTCCTCCGCAAGTATCTCTTCCTCGCCCACGACGCCGTCCCCAACACCCACAAGGTGGAGTACAAGGCCCTCGAGCGCGAGGGCGGCCGCGGCCGCGGGCGTGGCGATGGCCGTGGACGCGGGCGCGGTGAGGGTCGTGGACGTGGACGTGGCGAGGGCCGTGGACGCGGGCGTGGCTTCCACAGCGAGCGCGACGCTTACCGCACGGGTGCCGCCGCCGCTCCTGCTGTCGAGGCGCAGTGAGGTCATTATTGGTAGTTGGTGACTCGGATTTATTTCTCGTTTATTTATTTACTTATTTTTGTCCTGCATTGAATCCTTTTTTGTGTGTGTGTTTCTTTTCTGCTGCTCTTCCTCTTGCTGTTGCTACGTGATGTAGCAATAAAATGTTCTTGGGATGGGTCTTGGTTAAAATGGTGGATTTTGATTCTACTTTCTGTTTTTTTTTCTTTTCTTTTTTTTGAATGCGAGTAGTTACTGACAAGGATGGCCACTTACGTCCCCAAGAGCTCTCGCGACGACGTGTACCGCTTCTTCTTCACGGAGGGCGTTATTTCCTGCAAGAAAGATCCTCTTGGCACGTGGACCGGGACTCTTGGTGGGAAGGCCTTTAAGGTGCCCGCCGTGCAGGTGATGCAGCTCATGCGCTCCATGAAGAGCCGCGGCCTCATTAAGGAGCAGTTCGCCTGGCGCCAGTTCTACTGGTTCCTCAACGACGAGGGTGTGGAGTTCCTCCGCAAGTATCTCTTCCTCGCCCACGACGCCGTCCCCAACACCCACAAGGTGGAGTACAAGGCCCTCGAGCGCGAGGGCGGCCGCGGCCGCGGGCGTGGCGATGGCCGTGGACGCGGGCGCGGTGAGGGTCGTGGACGTGGACGTGGCGAGGGCCGTGGACGCGGGCGTGGCTTCCACAGCGAGCGCGACGCTTACCGCACGGGTGCCGCCGCCGCTCCTGCTGTCGAGGCGCAGTGAGGTGGCTTAGTAACAAGCAGTGAATTGGGATCATATTTTTTTTTGTCGTTTTGAGGCTATTGTCTTTTTTTTTCAAGTTTTTTTTTTTTTTTGGGTTCCAACGAGGTACACGCAACTGTGCTCTGTTATGGTACTCAGTGGTTATTTGACTGGATGTTGCTGTTGGCTCGATTTTTTTTTCTTTTTTGTGGTTTGTTGTTGTCTAACACACATGCACGGAGCGTTATATACAGGTGTTATTCTGCGCAATACTCACCCAGTTAGCAAAGGGCAGTACCGAACGAAATATTAGCTATAGAATTATTTACGGGGGCAATGCATACTTCAGTAAAGTGGTCGGAAATGACGGCCGGCGGGTCCTCTAACCCTACCCCAATTTACAGTATCTGTTATAATCCAGTCGCAGATGCTGTTGTGGTTGCCTGTGGAGTTCGGGTTTTGGCCTACGATGCCAGCACAGGATCTATTATACATTCCCTTAAAGGGCATACTGACACGGTGTACTGTGTTAGTTGTTCCCATGACGGCAAGACCCTGGCCAGTGGAGGGGCGGACAAGACTGTTATTCTCTGGAATAACAAGTGGGAGGGTGTGTTAAAGTATCAGCACAAGGAATCTGTGCAGGCCTTGGCGTACAATCCCTCAACTGGGCAGCTTGTTTCTGTAGCAAGCTCCGACTATGGGGTTTGGTCCCCCGATCAGGTTAAGGTAGGGAAAAATGCTCTGCCTTCCAAAGGACTTTGTGTCGCGTGGTCCCGAGATGGGCATTTGTTGGCCATCGGACTTTTTGACGGTACTGTCCTCTTGGTTTCTCCTTCTAGCTCGGAGAAAGTGGTGATTCAACGGAATGCCCCTGTTTGGACACTCACTTTTTCACCTACAGCCGAAAATGGTTTGGATGTACTCGTTGTAGGATCGTGGGATCGACGACTCTCTTTTTATAATACCCAGGGAAAACCCATAAGCAAAGAGAAGGAACTTCCGTGTGACCCTTGCTGTGTCTCCCTTTATGAAAACGGTGCTTTCTTGCTTGTCAGCGGAAGTGACCACAAGGTGACACTCTACACTAAGGACGGCAACATGCTTGTTGACGTGGTCAATGCCGATGACTGGGTATGGTCGGCTTATCAGCGTCCAGGCAGCCCGCAAATTTGCTGTGGAACAAATGACGGTAAGCTCAGTGTCATTGAAATTGCTGTACCGGCTGTACACAGCATCTACCACGATCAGTATGTTTATCGTGACAATATAACCGACATTGTTGTCCATCAGCTAACACTGGATAAAAAAATACGTATTCCTTGTCATGACTATGTTCGCAAGCTGGCGATGTACAGAGATCATCTTGCCGTACAGCTTCAAGACAGAATTGTTGTGTTTGAACTTTACTACGATGAGGAACGACAACTACGGTTTCAAGATATTGCACACATTGGAAAAAAAGTAGAATGTAATCTTCTCTGTGTCACTTTTAACGCCGTTCTCTTATGCGTTGAGCGGCGGCTAACCATGTATGACTTTCAGGGCAATAAGCGCAGAGAGTGGGCCTTTGAAGCCTCTATTCGCTATGTCAAAGTAATTGGTGGTGCAGAAGGAAGGGAAGCTCTTCTAGTTGGCCTAAAAAATGGTGCAGCGTTACGCGTTTCCATTGACAATCCTTTTCCTACAACCTTGGTGAATGTCAACGGCTCCATTCGCTGCCTGGACATTAGCTGCATGCGCGGAAAGCTGGCTGTGGTTGACGATAATGAATTACTGCAAGTATTTGATCTTCGAAATCAAAACGAGGTGTTGTTTACAGAAACTGGCGTGCTTGCTGTTGTATGGAACACAGAATATGACGACATGATCACCTACACCACATCAGGAAACATGTTGAATATTAAAACTGGTTTCCTCCCTCCCTATCAGCAAAAAATGCCAGGATTTGTTGTGGGCTTCAAGGCTAATCGTGTTCTCAATCTTAATTCCACAGTGATTGACGTGGTGGATGTCCTGCACTCCCATGCTCTCCATCGCTACGTGGAGAAGAAGGACTTGGATTCTGCTTATCGTATTGCATGCCTCGGCGTCACGGAGGACGATTGGAAGATGCTTGGGATGCATGCCATGACACAATTAAGGTTGGACATTGCACGGATGGCATTTATTCGCATTCGTGAAGTGAAGTTTGTTGAACTTCTTAGCCGGTTAGAGTTGGAGCGGCGTCAGGGCACTGAAAAAGAGAATTCCGAAAATGACGCTCTTCTTATGGGAGATATTATGGCATATCAAGGTAAGTATCAGGAGGCGGCGAGGTACTTTCTGAAGGCGGGGCAAGAGAATAAAGCCATTGAAATGTTCTGCGACTTAAAAAGGTGGAAGGAAGCGAAAAAAATTTGCAGTAACGAAAAATACTTGAAGGAGTTAATTTTTCAACAGGCTCGGTGGGCGGAGGATTTGCAGAATTACATTGAGGCCGCCTCCTTGTATCAAGCCTGTGGAAATGCAGGAAAATCAATTGCTATGCTGCGTTCAGCGGGGCAGGTTGATAGATTAATGGAAATGTGTAGGTCCTTGCCTCGCTCAGAAGTGGCTCTTATCATGGAGTGTGCTGAATTCTTCAAGAAGCATGACGCAAAACTGTACGCCTTGGAAGCATACGAAAAAGTGGGCGATATTCGTTCCGTTATTGCTCTCTATGTGGAGATGCATGAATGGAGGCAAGCGTTTGCCTTTCTTGAACGTTATCCTTCCTACATCCGTGAGGTGTATGTCCCGTGGGCGACGTGGTTGGCCGACAATGGCAAATTTGAGGAGGCTCTTGAGGTGTATCGTCTAGCCAAATGGCCGAGGGAGGCAGTTCGTGTGATGGAAGCACTTGCAGCTAATAGTGTGGTATGCCGCAAGTTTCGTGATGCTGCCTTTTACTATATGCATCTTGCCAGAGAGTATGGGGTCTTAGAGGATGAGCAACAACTTACAGAGGCACAGTGGGCAAATCGAATAAGACTTAGCGCGGAATGTGTACGTCGTGCCGATATTTACTATGCTTATCACTTTGTCTATACATATTCAATGCAACCGTTTCCATACAACGAGGTAGCACTCTTTAATATATCCAAGTATGTCGTGTCGATGCTGAGCGGCGCTGTTGTTCCATTGAATGTGGGGAAAGGTGAAGTTCTCTACACACTCGCGCGCGTTGCAAATCAACTTAATATGACTCCAATATCACGTGTGGCGCTTGAACAGCTTCAGTCAGTGGTTCTTCCTATAAAAGTCACTGAGCAGGTTGATGTGGATAGTCTTTTGATACGCGGCAAAGTCTACACTGGCAAGGAAGAACTTCAAGATGTATGCTTCCGTTGCAGGCAAACCGTGCCGCAGCTCACGGATCCGGGTGATCGGTGCCCAAACTGTGCCCATCCTTTTGTGCGCTCCTTTGTGAATTTTAATACTCTTCCCCTTGTGGAGTTTGTCCTGTCAAACGAGCTCAGTGATGCTGAGGCCGAGCGCATTATTTTGGCTGGTTCAGGACGCAAGTCTGCGGAAGCAAACAACGAGAACGGGCATGGCAATGATAGTGAGTGGAAAGCGGACACGGGCGCAGATGTGATTACGTTTGCTGACGAAGAAGACAATATAGACGCCATGATAGATCAGCAAATGACTGCCATGGGACGCGCGTCTGCGACTGGACAAGATCCGTTTCGGGTGCAATTGGCCCATTTCACACGACCTAACAGACCAAATACCGAGTATCAACCGTTTGTTGCGAACGCTGAGATGCTTCGTCGAATGCGTCGTGATGAGGTGTTTATTGTGAGGGCCGGGTTTGGAACGCTTCCGGTGCGACACAAATATTACCGTGTGATGAACCGTAGTGTGGGCATTGTTCTTTGCCCGGGGTGTCAGCACTTCTTCACGGATGACGAATACGAGTATGAATGTATGAAGGGTAGTGGGTGCCCACTGTGCCGTCATAAAATGGGACGGCAATCGCAGCGTTCAGTGAAGCGGATTCTTCACGATGTTCTTGGCGATGAACAGTAGTTCAACCAATGCAGATAGGAGAGTACCCCATATTAATTTGTATATACATAGGAGAGAGAGAGAGGGGGAGGGGGGGAGGGAGGAGGG